GCCACACCTTTGCGAGCGCCTGCACTCGCACCCTCAGCACCCTTGCCACTGTCGTACTTGCCACCCCCCTTTGCCACACCGCTGCCTTTGTGGACGTTTTCCTTGCCACTTCCCTTTGCCACACCTTTGCAATTGGCGCCCGTGCCGTGGCTGATGATGTCCTGTCCCTTGCTTCCCTTCACATCGCCCTTGCCAAACGGTTGCTTCCCCAACTTTCCTTTCCAATTCCCCTTTTCCTCCATCTTGCCCTTCCCAAAACATTCGCTGCCAGCCTTTCCTTTGCTCTTCCCCTTTTCATCACCCTTAGCAGCCCCCATACCTTTGCCAGTTGAAAGGTTAGAGCCACCTTTCTCTGACCATTCACTGCCTTTTGCTTTGAGGATGCGTTGCGTGTGCTGATGTTTGTCAGACTTCATGCGTTCAAGTTCCTCCCGGCTCGGTGTGGGCCCACCAACTGGGATGTTGACCACTGGCGGCCGACCCAAACTTGCTAAGTGAAGGTCATTTGATCTCCGAATGCGTGACCATTCTTGTTCCGATGTTGCAGCCCACGGCCCATAGGCTGGTGTTTCCACAGAGCCAGTGCGGCTCAACCCCGCACCAGCGCCCAGGCCTTTCCCCTTCTCCATGGAAGTAAGAAGCAAAAACCAGAACTTGTAGCCCAAATGGTGCTGATATATCACTGATGGAAGATTGGTTGTGGTGACACGCCCTGACACGCTCTGGCACGTTTTCATGTCACGAGAGACGCCGTTGACACGTTCTGACACGGTCTGACACGTTTGGCAAATGTTTGGACAGCAGGTGAGTCTGTGGCGCACAACTAGTCAAAGGGGCTAACTGGAGTGCGGTCTTGCACTGACACGTTGCGGATCGCGTTGAAAAACACGACTCGCAGCCTATAATCCACTGAATTAAGCACGGAACCCGTGCACACACTTTGTATTGCCAACCTGCAACCTATAGAGCTGTGCAAGTTGCAAACTTTCCCACCTACACTTTACAAAATAGACTCCAGTCCGCTATCAGAGGTGTCATCACCAAAGTCTTGGAAAGCAACCCCATTGTCCGACATGACCTGCTTCTGGCGCGCAGGAATCTTGCTGAAGTGGTCCTCCAGCCATTGCCCCACCTGGCTGCTTGGATCGGGATGGTGGTGGATAGCTTGGCAAGCAAGGTTGCATATAGAAAGAAAAAGACTTTTAGAAAGGTCTGACTGTAAGCAGTTCATCTTTCAAGTATACTGGCCAGTGGGACCTCCAATCCAAGTCCAGCCGGGTATGACTGGGTCGAACGTAAGTCTTTCCCCCCTGCCTCACGTTCCATCAAATTAACAACAAGCATGTTTGAGGCCAGGAAGAAAATAAACACGGCGCTTGGGGCCCTGCACATCGTTTTTTTACCCTGGCTGTCTGTGTAGACACGGACAGTCTGGATGTTGAGGAAAGCCTTGATGCGGTGGAGCTGCTGCCTGTGACCAGAACAGGCTTCCAACAGACATATGTTTCAAACCGTTGCTGGGACATTTGATAAAACAAACTGGAGACATCTGTTGGCAGCAGCTACAAAAGTGTTGTCAGAGGGCCCTCAAAAGGAAAAGTCTCCGCTTTGGACATTGGGGTATAGATCTTGACAGCCAGCCTTCGTAGTGGTGTGGTCTTCTTGTGAAGCTTGGCAAGCCATGGAGCAGTCCCCACCAACAAGACCTAAATCGGTCTAGTGCAGAGAAAGC